GATCAGAAGGAAGGTTCTTAAAGAAGCTTTAGTCTACAGCACTGAGCAAGCTGCTGCTATTGGAAACTTAATAAAAAAAATCTCCAGAGTTGGGTCAGCTCCCACTGCAACACCAAGGGTGCTACCCCTCGCACAACCTCCTCCCCTCTACCCTTTATAAGGACATTAATCCCATTTCTAAACTAATAATAATTCTCTTCTGTGCTACAAATATTCAGCCACTGTGGTTAAATACTATGTAAAGCACAAACAAGGTCAAGAATGTTGGTTGCCATTAGAGTCGTGTTTAAATTAGCATTAACAAGCAGGCCCTTCCCTAAACAAAAACAAAACAAAATGCTTTCTTGGTCAGTCAGCTCCGTGCCTGGAGAGCAATTTTACCCCACATACCCTTTAAGGGCCTCACAGGGTCCAGATGTACCACAATATAATATCATTAATTTCCACTAAATTTCTCAAAGGACCACTATCAATTTGAGGAATTTCTTCTGAGGGAAGAAACTGCATATTCTTTATACCCTTTGTGTAATCTGGATAAGCTGGCAGCAGTGTCCCAAAATTCACTATGGGATGTCCTGGAAGAAGAGCCCCGTCACCTCTCAAGCATCTCGGCCCTTGCTATACCCAACATCTGCGACTCAGTGTCTCCCTGTACCGTGGGGTTAAATCACACTTCCCGGACTCCAACTCTGTGTAGACGATTCCTTAAAATAACATCCAAGAGCCCCATAATTTACCAACTTGTATCTTTCCCGCCTCCATTACCCCGGACTCCAACCACACGTTCACTCCCCACCATTCAGCTCTTAAGAGACACATCACTTTCATCCTTCAGGTCCCTTTTGTGAAGTCTTCCCCAGAGCCAGAATTTAATTTTCCATTCCCGGGCATGCCAAGGTTCATGGACTCCACAGCTGCCACCTACTTATGCAAGCCAGCTGCTATATATTGAAGTTAGCTGCATCTTTTCCCTCTGAAGTACAGCTCTTTCTAGAACCTCCTTTTCCTCATCTTTGTATCCACTACTGTTGAAGGAGTTTGGTAATTGCTTATTCAATAAAAATTTCCTCCTTTTCTCCCAACTTTCTAAGGTATCTGTAACAGTTCTCCATGAGATGAGACAGTTAAGTTACAACACTCTAGGGATTGGGGGGAGGGACATGATATGTAAAACTTAGAAACGAAATAAGATGCTGAGTTAACAAGGCCACAGCAAACGTTCAGCTTTTAAACCAAGTTTTATTACTTCACACTTCACTTTGAAAATAAATCATGTTCCTCAAGTGTCTATGCATATAGGTACCCCAAAAATTAAAGAAAAAGAAGACAGACATCACACCAAGCACAGATACTAAAATCCTGACCTCAAACTAAATTTCAAGTCTTCTTATTTGCTGAACACTTGGAGCCTCCCAGTGAAAAATGATACAGTGTATTCCGCCCAGAAGGCAACTTTCCTTACTAAGCATTTAAAGTAAGATTCTTGTCCCTAAAAATCATGAACTTCAGACTGAATGTCATTATGTATCAAAAAAAAAAAAAACTGGTCCAGTGTGAGTTTTACTTTCTTGGAACTTTCCAGTCTGCCTAACGGAATAGATTCAGTAAAACTTTGAAAAGCCTATGGTAATATAATTTTTTTTAAATCAAATTACTTTCTGAAAAAACACTAGCATCAAATAAAAACAGACATTTCAAACTGCAGGTGTTGAAAGGGCTGCCACTTACATTCCCATCTCTGATCTCTCTGTCCATCACAGGCAGGGATACTGAGATGGCGGAGTGCCCACCGCACCGAGCAGCCGCTCATCTCCTGAGAGACAGCGACGCAAGTGGGAAGCTGGTCAGGTCAGACTGCAGACTCCACATCCATTTGAAAGTTAAGTAGGCTCACACACTTTAAATAATAAAGGTAATGGAAGAATGGTGGAGGGGTGGGGTGGTCATTATTGATGCTCTGGTGGAGGTGGAAAACAAAACAAAACAAAACAAAACAAAACAAAGGAAAATCAACTCCCAGTTCAAGGGTCTTCCCCCTCCAGGCATCTCCCACTGCTGATTTTCTTCCACTTTCTCAGCCCTCTTGGCCTCCCTCTTCCCTCCTGGACGAATCCGTTCACACTTCCCTTTACTCTCTTCCAACTGCTCTAACACGGGATAACTACCCACCAGTTTCCAGTTATCTAGGGAGCTGGAAGGAACAGCAAAGATCATCCAAACCCTCCATTTTCCAGATGAGGACACAGAAGGAGGACCAGCTGACCTGACTGGCTAAGGTCGCACCGCTAGGGGACGTGGTGTGCGTGTGGGCTCGGATTATGACAACCTAGCCTTCCGCCTGGCCCCTCAGCCCCTGCCTTCCCGCCGCACGCTTTCTCTTGCTTCTTGGCTTCTTTATCCTCAAATTAAATGGTATCAAGAGAAACACAGCTTTCATATACTTACAATGCTGATCGTTAATGCCCAATTTTGCATTTGGGGCAAATATGCTCTGTCCTCCCCAGAACTGGAAAATCAGGAGCAGAAACAACCGGATGGCATTATGCGTGTGTGTTAAGGCAATTTAGTTCGGTCCAAATAGCCGTAACTTCAGTACACACCCTTTTTCCTCGGGGCTTACCACCCGATTTGACAAGGGACTAGCTTCTTAAGAGAACGAATTTAAGTTTCTCCAGCCCATTCTCCCTTTAAGCGGAATTGCCAGCTTTGAATCACAGACCTTCCGCTTCCCAGACACGCTTCTGCCGGGCAAACGACACAGGCAAATAGGTGGAAAAACACGGACTGTTAAAGCCTGAAGGTATAGAGGATTTTGCTCTAATAAATGCAGTTACATGTTTTCAAGATTCATGTTTGGAAGTATGTATCTGTTCCAATGGGAAACAATGCATTCACAGTGAAACTTCAGTGAAACTATAACAAGCAAGCGCAATGGAAACTCACATTTATGAAAACTCCACAGATTTCAACAAAAAAGAAAAGAAGTAGCAGCAGAAAGCAGCAATTTCAGGCCCCGGCCTGAAGGCAGCAACAAGTACGGAGCGCGTCATTCTTAACATCAAAGTCCAAACGGCAGCAAAGAAAAACAAGAATAAACTG